TTAGAAGTGCTGAAATGTGAAACATGAAATTGTGCTCTAACAAAGTTGAAGGCCCTTTCCATTTGAGCATAACCAAGCATTAACAGCATTCCAAATCCTGAGAAAGAAAAGGACAGTCCTAAGAAAAGCTGTATCTATTCATTGCTTGGTGCGTGCTACAGGCGTAGTGCACGAGTTTGCCCCCTCCCCTCTGTATTCGTATGTGCACCCTCCCCACCACCAAATCTACTGCACAGTTGGGAAGCTCTCTGGAACAGATTTGGAGTTTGTGTGGGAAACGGCAGGGTAGATGAGGGGAAGGGAAGCTCTTGTTGCATGAGCACAGGTTTGCTTAGCCCTGGGTGCACAGTAGGCACGGGGCTCCAAACATTCTCCTTGAAGGAATTCATTAGGCCCAGATGTTCTTGAAAGTATACCAGACACCTTCTAAACCTATGTCTCATTTACCAAAAGGCCAAGCACATGTTGAATTGCTAGCAATTCTATCCATGAACGCACTGTATTGGGTCTTACTTCGTTTACCTTTTTTCTTTTATCATTTCTTCCAGTGTTCTCACTTTTCATATGAGCACATTACACCCTGCTTTTAAGCATATGATGCACATACTGAGCTGATAGCTCGCCACATAAATGGCAATGTTATTTTATCTCATTACTCTTTTCTGTGTTCAATTCAAATGAGATTACATGCAGAAAGGTTTGGCTTAGTAAGTGATCTGTCCCACTAATGTTCTGTTATGATTCAACTAACATGTAGTGATCAGAAAGAAAAAACCCCTTGCCCTAAGCAATGTAATAGGTATTGCGTCTTCAGTCATGTTGTGCAAGCATTCTAAAATTACCTTCTAAAAAACACCAATATCTTATATTAAAACCATTTTCTCTGAAGAAAACATGACAGTGACTAGTGAACCAGCATTAAATCAGCATAGACAAGGTCTGTGCAGCATTTTTATGTACTGCAGAAAGGATTTTTTTCACAGTGAGTCTAACACATGATGTATTAAACTATGCTAAGCATTATTTGTACAAAACTTTGCTCTAGAACTGCAGCCAATCGCTGTGCTAAATCAATTGCATGGTCTCACAAGATCACAAAAAGTATGGCACTGATAAAATCCTGTAGTCATTCCAGAATCAATGCCCATGCAAGGAATGCTTCCTTGACAAACTACTGACAAATCACTTCTATTCTGGGCTGCAGCTGAGCGAAGGCAGTTTCTGTGGAAGATTACTTGCCCCATAATGGACAACTGGGCTGGTTCTAACAGGTAGTTAGAATCCAGGATTGTTGTTGTGAGGATAAAATGGAAGAACCACCACCATATAAGCTGCCTTGGGAACTTTCCAACAGGAAGAAAGATGGGATACTAAAGTAAGATAATGTAAAAATAATGACAGATATGGGGTACTTTTCCTTTTGAAACAACAGAGCACACCCTTAGAGGTGTTTTTAATGATTTAAAAGTTATTTTGATGAAAAAAGTCATTACAGTGAAAGAATACTGGACCAAGAAACACTCTAATGTAATCTGTGAACCAGATTACTACAATGTGCTCTATACAGAACTGCTTCTGTGATTGTCCAAGAAGCTTCAGCTTGTGCAAAACATGGCAGCCAGATTAACAGCAAGAAACGGAAGATTTGAACACATAACGGCATTTCTGGCCTCGCTGCAATGGCTGCCTTATGTTTCAAAGCCTGATTCATTGTGCTGGTTTTGATCTATAAAGCCTTACTATACTGGGGACTGCAGTACTTGATGCATAGCCTCTCCCAGAATAAACCTACCAGTATGCAACATTTGTCATCTCAAGTCCTCCTTTCAGGTGCCTCCTCCAAGGGCAGTTCAGAAGACGGGAACAAAGGAGAAGGTTTTCTCAGTAGCACTCCCCAATTATAGAATGAGCTCCCCAACAAGATCCACCTGGCACCAACAGTTTTAGCTTTCTGGCTCCTCATAAAAAAACATTTTCTCAGGCACCTTGCAGCATATGTCGAATCAGGTCTTTTCTAGTTCATTGTTCAAAATTGTTTTTAGGGGTGTGGGGGGTTATGCAGTATGTTTAAATGTATGTGGCTTTTAGAATATATTTTAAAGTTTTAACCTTTGCATACCACCCAAAGAGCTTTGGCTATTGGGAGGTACAGAAATGTAATAAAATGAAAAGAAATGGGATGAAAATTATGTGGACTAAAGTTTTTGTTTTATATATAACTCTTTTAGAGGCTGAGGTTTCACTTTTTTTTCTCCCTATTGCTAAGAAATATTAACTTGTCCTATTAAATAGCTCTTAATTGCTTAGATACCACTCAGTTGCATCACACTATGACCTAGTTTCCACAACCAGTTGAAGTATGTGCACAGGTAAATAAAATATCAGCAGGGAATCAGTAGTACAGATGAACAGCCAACTGTGCAATCATGTAACTCAAGTGTAATCCAGATACAGGTTTGCACCTCACATTCATGTAATGCACATCTGGCGAATTCCTGAAAGTAGCAGCCACAAGTGCTATGAAATGTTAGGGAGATCTGTTGGAATTCAGTCACTCGTTGAGTTCACAATCATGTATGCAAAGTCCTTTGTGCATACAACAGTAAGTGCAGGAGCTCTGTTCCAACAACCAAATGCCCTCTCCATACACTTGTCAAGTACATGTGCAATCTAAACAGCCACATGAGGCTCTTACTGTTTGACTATGTTTACTAGACTGTAAACCATCTTCAGGTTCAGATTATACTTCCTTAACTTCAACACTAAAGTATGACAAATGGGAAATAATTAGCACAAACTGTTGTAAAACAAGAGGAATTCTGTTTTAAGTATGATTATTTGCAATTCCATTTTAAGTGAAGATAAACAGAAATTGTAATTTAATACTTTTAGCTACCTCTCAGAATATAGCTTTTAAGAAAACAGCCATAGAATACAAATTTTGGACGTACTTAACTATGCCAGTTATTTTACTGCAAATTCAATAGTCCAAGTTATTCTATTGGTAATTCAGGTGAAAACGATTTCAATGGCAATCTCTATAAAAGCTAAAATACATTCACTGCAGGGAATCAAAGTTTCAGCAGAAATACCTTGAACATTTTAAATCATCCTCTTTAGGCCACATGCCCAAGCAGATAACATAAATAAGGGGATGCAGAACTCTGAGTTAGCTCTGGCATTTATGAAAGCAGCTTCAAATGGCTTCTATTAGCCTAGATAAATTGTATTCTAGTATTTGGTTGAAATGTTTCTAGAATAAATCTTTTAGTCTGTTCAGGATATCTGCTTTCTCAGGAAATTATTTCCATAAATTTGAAACAGGCACAAAATTTAATTAGGCTTAAACATGTGGAAATACTATTCAATGTAATAAAAAAAAACTGATGAGACAGAATTTTCACATTTGCATTGCTGGTAATTTAAAAAGCATTCTTCTCAGAAATATTGAGTTTGCTGCTTCCTGATCAATCAAAGATCAATTAAGGGATACAATGATGTATGTTACCCTACCCAAGTGTGTACAATCTCCTAACATCAGAATAGCTTCCCTTTTATGTACCTTTGTCTGAAAGAAAACTAGTATGAAACACAGCAAATTCTGCCTTGAGGAGGACAAGCCATTAATAGTAATAGAATAACATGTGCTAGCAGTGTAGTATGTGTCTACTCAGAAGTAATTTCCTGTCTTTGCAATGAAGCTCCCATAGATATAAGTGTATGCCTATGGCTGAAATGCTATGCACACTTATCTTGAAGTAAGCCCCAAATAAAGTATGCCCTAAGCAATGGGACTTTCTTCCCTGTGGACACACATAGGATGATGCTGTAAATTTCACTAAGACATACCCAACAAATGACAGAGCTTTCACATTTATTTCATCTTTTGATTTCAGCAGAATGAGCAGATGCAATACTTCAAAATGATTAGTTACTCCTCTTTAAAAAAATCCATTTGTGTCCAATAAAAATTTGCAACCTTATGCTTTTTCCACACTTAATATATGCATGGCTTCTTTGGCATGAATACCCCTTGATGCATGAAAGTTCTGAATTCAGAGACTTAAAGAAAAGGAATGGCAGTGCAGTTCTAGATTTGAAGAACACACCTTTTCCCAAGGGAACATGCCCTTCATCTTCAGCATCACATGCATGGAAAATGAACCAGGCCACTGTTTTATTTCCATTTGCCCAATGCAGGGAAATATGGTTCCTAACCAACCATCTCATCTTGTTTCTTTGCACTTTAAGAAAAATACCCCCTCAAACACAGATACAGTCACAAGTCACATGGGACATTCTGTTCTGAGACCTAACCCCATGTGTCTGGGCACTGTATATAAACAATGCAACTACATGCATTTTCTCCATTCCTCTGTGCCTGAAGTCTGCAGTTCTGCATGTGTTAGATGCTTTCATTGCTATTACTGTAATGCTTACAACTGTTGCTCAGTGTAACACAGTTTACAGTACTTCCACTAAGGGTCCAACTGTTTTACTTTATAACTACCCAGAAGCTTGGGTGATGTTTCCCCAGTTTTTTTCCTAGTGGCAGCCATATTAATAGAATTTGACTTTTACTTCTTTTCTTACACATATCCACCCAAATCTATCTCTACATCCAGAGTACTTAGTATAACCTACTTAAGAGATGCAGGTGCCAATCTCCTCCTCCTCCTCCCTCCTCCAAAATACAATCTGAACTTCACTCAACGTAGGTGTAGTACAATGGCTAAGGGATAGATTCTTAGCATAGTTCTTATCCAATAATTTCATAGCAAAACTTCATAAGTGATTCTTAAGACCAAGCATATGTAGCATTTTTGCATGTTTTACAAATGAAAACATCATTAACAAATCCTCATGTATACAAAAAACAACATGCACAAAAAGTACATGAAATCTGGATGTAGAGGTGACTCCAGCATGAGCAACACTTTAACTATCTTCTTTAGACATTCCAAGAGATAAATAATACCTCTTGGAAATACTTCACTTACCTCAAAATATCTTCCAGTCTCCGTATTGTCTTATGAGAATCTGCTCGCTCTTTATCAAAATCATTCTGCAATCCATGAATCTAACATTTTTAAGAGGAGGAGAGAGTTACATTCTAGCATACACATACAGTAAAATTGTGATGTGGTCATTGTCAATTATGCTATGGTGACTCACAGAGTGTAGACTACTGTAAACACACTGTATGTAGGACTGCCTCTGAAGATACAAAAGGCAGCTAATGAAGAACACATCAGCCTATCTGTTGACAAAAACAGACCAACATACTTGACATTTTTGTTCAGGTAACTGCAGTGGCCGCCAATTTGTTTTCAGATCCCTAATAAACTGCTGATTCATAACTTTAAAACAAGGGTGAGAAATTTATAGCCTTCAAAGTGGTTTGGTCTGTAATTTCTATCATTCCACACTACTGGCTATGCTGGCTAAAACTGATTGCTCATGGGCCTAAGCATCTGGAGGGCCACAAACTTCCCTTCCTAGCTTTAAAGTCCTAAACTTTATTGATCACAATTATCTCAGAAAAGTCACCAATCGTAAGTATCCCTCAGAATGAGAGCCTACTCTGGATTTCATCTCACGAAAAGGATAAATCCAACAGATTCCAACAAAAGGGGCCCTTTCAGTAGTAGCTCCAATGTTCTCAATCCCTCTTCCATGTGTTCTTCGACCTGGATTCTACTGTAATAGTGTTCAATTACTGTTTGCTTTGGTTTTCATTAATTTTGCATTGTATTGTTGTATAGATAACTCCACATTATCTATAAAACATGTAAAATTTTAACATTTGTAAATTTCTGTAAAATTTGGTGAACCCCAATATAGTTATATTTTTAAATAAATAAAATACAAATTAGATACAATATCCTGTATATGGTTTAAAGATTTGCGCAAACTAAAATACTGCTATTTAATCACAGCAGATAGATTAAGACATAATCACATTTCTATATCTGAGATCCAACATTGTAATATAGGAGAACAGGAGAGAACTATGCAAATATTCAAGAGCTCAGCTTGCTGATTTTGTTACAGTTGTTCTCCTCACTGAAGCTACAATCCACATAACTAGCTACATCAGAACGGCAACTGAACCTCTATCAGCATGCTTATATACAATTGCACTAAAGCCCCTCAAATACTTTACGTTGTTGTAAGGAGAAAGTGCAATTCACTGCGCCCCCCCCCCCCCCCGGCCCAAAACAGGCAGGGAATGGCATTAAAGAGATGCTCAACATCCCTGACTTGTGTTTGAGGACAGTAATGATCAGGCAAAATGGAATGAGCCTGTGCAGTGTTTATATGAGTTCCAGTCTATCAACAAAATAAAGGATTCTATGAATATTAAACCAGGCCAATGCAGAGTATGAGTAAATTCTGGTGCAGAAATGATGTGCCTCCTGTGATGTGTTAGAGACTCTCTTAAGTTAAGGCATTCCTTTACCTCCTTTCTCTTCTTTCTCCCTTAGGTTTATGGATCCCTTCATGTGTGAGATTCTCTCTGTTTTTCCTTTCCAGATCTAACATCAGTTAATATTACGTATGCAGATGCTAGCTACATTTAGCTCAGAAGAGAGATTGGAAGTTCTCCCACTACTACCAGGCTCTGCTTGTCAACTAACCACGTTAGGCACTGTGAACCCCCGACCCCAGTTAGCCCTAAAAGGGGAAAGGCAGAATTCACATGTAAGAGCAAAGGGGGAGAAAGTACATGAACCCAAAGGATACGCTAAACCTTTTAACCATAAAAGTAATACTGCCTCTACAAAAGACTGAGGAGTGATTCCATCACAAGCATGCAGAACACAATTGCTGTAATCAATTAAGGCAGCAACAACAGAAAAAGTTCTTCCACCTGTCCATACAGAAGCTAAAGAATTCCTGTTCAGTATCATGCATTATTTTTTATAATCTGATCAAAGGAAAAAAGTATCCCTCTTCCCTTAAAGTACTTCTTAAAACAGAATACAGTAATAATGTTATCATTAATTAAACATCGACACATTTAAACTGTTTCGTAATGATTTCTTGAGAAATTAATGACATTTTGTTCCCTCTTGTGGAATATGTTAAATTGCTCAGATTAAAAAATATACATTGTTAGTGCATGGCAACTGTAAGCATATACTGAAAAGGTCTTGACAGCTGCTGTCCTATCACTGGAAAGAGGGGAAGTCTCCCCGCCCCCAATTATTAAATAATGTTTAACCTTCCTTACATTTATCTACTTCATTTTTTACAACTGTGGTCACAGAAAGGCAGGTTGCTTACCTGCAACTGTTGTTCTTCGAAAGGTCATCTGTGCATTCACACATTATGCAGTGTGTGATTATGCCTGCACAGTGCCTGTTGCCAGGAAGATTTAATAGCTTTAATGGTTTTTGGTGGGAACTCCATGCCCGCCCACACCCCCCCCCCACCATGGTATGAATAGGTAGAGTGGCTGCCCTTTCCCCAGTCAGCTGAAGACCATCCATTCACCCTGAGCGCTTGCTGAATCAAGTGTGCAGGGACAAGTATGGATAGAAGAAATCAATTTCCTGTTGGTCCTGTGGAACGAAGGCCTGTTTGAATAGAGTGTCCAGGAGTGCTCTGATGAAATCGATGGCCTGAGAAGGAACGAGGCATGATTTTTCAGTATTAACACAGAGTCCAAGATGACCTAGCAGGGAACAGGTAGTCTTGATAGAGGTGAAAAGGTCATCCCTGGAAGAGGAGACGATAAGCCAATTGTCCAGGTATGGATAGATGTGGATGCCCTGAAGCCGGAGGTGGGCACAAACAGGAGCCATGCACTTAGTGAAGACTTTCGGAGCGGTAGCCCAAAGGGGAGCATGTTATATTCTAAGGCGTTGGTACCAAGAGTGAACCAAAGGAGGCGCCTGTGAGTAGGATGGATGCTGATGTGAAAGTAAGTGTCTTTCAAGTCCAGGGAAGCAAACTAATCCTCTTTTCTGAGCAATGGGAGTATATTTCAGAGTGTGGTCATTCTGAATTTTTTTGTTTTACTATATTTATTGACTCCATGTAAGTCCAGAATAGGGCATAATTCACTGTCTCATTTCAGTACTGTAAAGTACCTGGAGGAGAAACTGTGCGGTCCTTTGGAGCTATGAAGTTTACGAATCGCTCCTTTATGAATCATCTCAGTGACTTCTTCCAGGAGGGATGGAGAGGCTACTGTATACCGGATCAGGCCAGAAGGTGGCACAGTCTCAAATTCAATTTTATATCCATGCTCTACGGTGGTAAGAACCCACCTATCAGATGTGATGGACTACCAGATGGGGAGTCAGCTTTGCAACCAGTCCCCAAAGGGAGAGGGGAAGGTAGAGTAAAGGAATGAGGAATGGTTCATGCATCCCATCAGCGTTGAGGTTTATCTGCCTCTGGTTGGCACCTAGGTTGTTGGTATCAAGGCACATTATGTCTTCAATTCCTTTGTTGTCTGTCTGGCGATACTGTTGACATCCCAAGGGATATGGTTGATGGTAAGGCTGGTACCAGTATTGGGATCTGTTCCATGGCCATTTACGTCTCTGCTGGGAAGGATTTTCCATGCGATGTGCAGTCAGATGAGCTATCTGGATGTTCTCAAGTTTGTCATCCATCTTCACATTAAACAATCAGGAGCTGTCAAATGACATGTTCTCAACACGCTGCTTGCTCTCTTGTGGCAGATTAACCAAATCTCAGCCAGGTGTGATGACGAAGGGCGACAGCACCAACGAAAGCCCTGCAGTCACAATCGACATGATGTCTCGCCGTGTTCAGCTGTTGTCTGGAAAGCTGCATTTCCTTCCCAATAAATAACTGGGCCAGTTCCCTTTGCTGGTCCGGGAGGAATGCAGTGAGGGATTTGATCTTCTGCCATAGAAAAAATTGATAGTGGGCCATGGTGGCCTCGTAGTTAAGAACTAAAAACCAAGTCCCATTGCGGCGTAGATCTGCTGAGACATCATGTCAATCTTTCTGCCCTCCTTGTCAGCTGGAGTTGAATGTTCATTGGTTTGTCTGCTTTGGGAGGACTCAATCACTATCGAATTCGGCTGAGGGTGTTTGAGGAGGAACAGGATATCTTACTCTCAAATCTTATACATTGCCTCTAAACGCCTGGAGGTGGGATGTGGGTGGTTCGGGAGCTGCCAAGTATCGGTCATCGCCTGTCACAGAGTGGTAATAAATGGCAGAGCGATGGACGATGAATCCTCTTTACGAATGATGTCGTAAATGTTATCTTGGTTGGCATCTATTCGCTGTTGGATATTTATCTCTAATTATTTGTCATCCACAAGAGTAGCTCAGAAAAGCTACCCTGGGAGTCACCTGAAGACCCAGGGTCTTGGGTAGGGATAACAGCGTCGGGAGTTGTGGAGGCTTGTTGAATCCAAATCGGATTGGTAAGATGGAGTGGGTGAAGACCCATCATTGGTAGACAGGTAAGCACCACAGCAGAAGTTGACGGGACATCCCTTGACACTGAGTGAGGGGTGGAGTGATGGGGACACATTGGTGGTCATGGGTATTATCCATATGGCGGGTAGTAATTCCATGGGTAAGGTAGATCAAAACGGCTGGGGTCAAATTTTCTGTATGGTAGAGGAACCCAGTACTGCAAAGGTTGTGGTGTGGAAGGCTGGGGTGGTAAGAGGGACAACGGGTGTTGAGGTGCCCTCGGAAAGCCCTCTGGAGATGACTGGGCTGCATGCGTAGGAGTGAGCACTCTCGCAGGCGGATGGTCTATTTATTTATTTTATTTATTTAAAACATTTCTATGCCGCCCCATTCGCCGAAGCCTCGGGGCGGCTCACAACATAAAATTAAAATATATACATTCAAATATACAACAAATTAACAATATAAAATAAGTCGCCCTGGCCAGATAAAATAAGCAAATAATATTAACAATTAAAATGACGTTTAAATAAAAAGGTCTTCGCCTGGCGCCGAAAAACAAATAACTGTCTAGGGAGGAGATTCACAGATCTCCTCATCAGAGATTGAACTTCTCGCAATGAAGTTGTAATCTGTGGAGGCGATGATGGAGGTGTCACCTGCATAACTTATTTGTGGTTGGTGGTACAGCTGGAACCGAGATCAGGACTGAGATCGGTGCGGCAGTCAGCTCAGAGTGAGGCACTTTACCATGCTTTTTGTGCCGGTGCTTGGATTTGTCAGGTTTGTCCTTCTTAGAATGCTTGGGTTTCAATGACTCCTCAGACCCAGCATGCTACCTCTTTTCCTTATGTTTACAGGGAGGAGAATTAGAGGAGCATTTTCCATCCTTGCCAACAAGATCCCCTCCGGAAGGGCGAGGGGGGATGGATTTCAGTGGTCCCGAAGCCATGGAAGAGCTGGCCTCAGTCAAGATCTGCTACATGGCAACCAGTGCTTGGTCCCATAACATTTTTCACAGCCTATTCTCGCGATTTTTGCGAGGCTGCCTGGTGAACAACTGGCAGTGGCTGCACTTGTCAGTCCTGTGCCTTTCTCCAAGGCAGAGAAGGCACAGATCATGAGGATCAGTGGAAGGTATGTTGGCTCCATACTGAGAGCATTTATGGGAGGCTGCCCGCTGTGCCATCGAGAACAAGAAAGAAGAAAAACAGCAAATGGAGATATAGTTTATGGGAGAGAAGGACAATAGAGAGGATTATATATACAAACATACATACATACATACATACATACATGGAAGGGGGGGAAAGAACAAGAAATAAAGGTAGGGGTTTGGTAAGGGATGAACTGGGTTTAAAGTTGTAAAGTGGAATTTAAGTGAAAAGTTCAAGATTTAAAAGATTACAATTGAGAAGACGAGGAGACAAGCAAAGAGAAAAGACCCGAGGCATGTCGAACAATGGTCGCGAGCAGACTGGGGAAAGGGTGGGCACTCCAACCATTTATACTACAAGGTGGGGGGGGGGACGTAGAGTTCCCACCAAAAACTGTTAGAGCTATTAAATCTTCCCGGCAACAGGCACTGCGCAGGCGCAGCACCCATAATGTGTGATGCACAGAGGTCACGATGAAGAAATTATATTTGCAAGCCACTCAATGGTACTAATTTTTCCATTTAAGAAAATTAAGTGTAATGTAACTGATGATGGTCATCTTACATATCTGCAAATGCTATGCTTGGTTGCTACCAATTCTGCTATGTGAAAAAATTGTTATAAAGCTAATTTTCCTTTCAAAACTTGTAAATCTTCCAGGCAGGGAATGAAGCAAATATGACCTCAATGATTTTGTCTAAGGCCAACTAGGTGTTATGTTTGTATTATCTTTTAATACAGTTCAGATGCTACATGAACATGTCCATTTCACACAGGGATGGCAGAGAAATCTGCAACAGATTCAAATTAATTCAAATTTCTATTAATACAATGTACAGATTTCAGAGAGAACAAGTTTCTTCCAAGTCATCTGGATTTGTGGACCTTTTTTAACTTTTGGAAAAGATCTATAGAACTTTCTTTGCACATATGCTCATTCAAGCATGAACAAAATTCTCATCCAAAAATCCTATTTTGTTAATAAGCAGAACAAATTTGTACCTCTCTAGTTTCATGTCATGGTTTCTACTGTAAATTTAAGGATAGTTGCCACTGAGTATCAAGTGTAAATTCCTTGCTTAATAAGCTATGACAAATAAAGTTTAAAAAAAGATTATTACAGTTGTGTGGCAAGTAATCTTAGCACAAGTTACTACTAATGCATGTCATTTAATGCTTTGGGAAAAGTTACCATTTTTAATGGTTCACATCTAAAACATGTATTGAAGCAATCCTGTTTTCCTTTTTCTAATACATTTTCCAGGTCTGATCATCAGATACATCACAGCTGCTGTTTGTACATTCAATCTCCTTGTTGCATATACAGAGGTGGTTGTGTACTCGCTGCTTAGGCGTAAAACGTATACACTAGCTTTCTGCATATCAGAAAGTCCATATAGAGGTATGTATAGCCTAACAGCAGAACTGTACTGAAAATATTTGTTCCCTGGCTGGTATAAATAAGCATCTACAGTGGGACTGGATAGTCGAGCTAACATAAGCATTATTAAATCTTAAGAAATAATAGCCAAGTGGCAGCCATTTGATCCAAATCCAATAAATAACACACCTGAAATACCTGTACTATCTTGTACATCCTAGAAAAGCAAAAACATTTAAGTTATCCCCACCCCTGTTCAATAATGAGGAAAGGCATTCTTCCTGAGCAGAGACTTCTTGAACTTGCATGGCTTGATAAATCTGTGGGCTTTACGTACAAGGGGAGGTAACAGCCTTCTCCTTTCCTTGGTTACGGTGAAATATCAAAGTTATCAAATATCTACTGCTTCCTTCTGTAGAAAGAAGTTGGGTACTATATCTCAGATTAGGATCTTGAGGAATTGAGGAAGTCTTATGACTGAAGGGAATCAACTAAAATGATGAAATGGTAGAAAGAAGATGACAACAAATATATTTTGGTGTGTAACTCATCAGATGTTCCATTTAGATATTGCTACCTATATGGCTTAAAGGGAACTGAGTTAGGGTTAGAAAGGTTTAATGAGGATCCTTTAGGCTTTAAATATTTTTTTTCACTCTGAAAGGGGAAGAATCTCTTCCTTTCTGATCTCTTCCATACAAACACCATTTTCTGGATCATTTCATATCACATGACTTTTCCCTAGTTAGCTGTAGAGGAGCCCACATACATACACTCAGTCATGTGTAAAGACCATTTTTGTGGATGCACTTTTGAGAATATACTACTAACTCAGTAAGAATACAGCCACCAAAATAGGCAGCTGTAGGAACTTTATTCCTGATTTTTCCCTACATGAGTGTAGACAGAAGTGTGAGAAAGTTGTGTGAAAAATAGCATCTCACCATTTACTCAGAGGTACGTTATATATTCTACTTTGGAATAACGAATAATGACCCTCAGTAAAGTACTTCTATTAAAATGGAAATTATTTGTCAGCAAAGTAAAGTTTTGAGAAAAATATTTAGTAGACCTTGTTCCCAAATATAGCAAAGTATGGCATCAGACTGTCATGAGCAATACTGTCTCACAAGACAATTTAATTTGTGATTAAAGATCTAGGTAATGAACCTATTCATTAAACATTTTAAATCATGTACAGTAAAAACAATTTAAAAAGAAATTAAGGATCTTCAATTTGTATCCTTTGTAGGAAGATTAATTTTATCTAAGTGAACTCAAAAATCAGGCAGTAACATATTTCTTAGTCAAGTTAGTTGACAGTAAACATTAAAATGCTTATTGTTGAAAAAACTGGTTGTTAGCTTCTATACAATCTAAATGAACTTCCCTTTATTACCTTTTTTTCATGAGATCTCTCTAGCTGAGTTTTCTCCTGTAGAAATGTCTGCTCCCGATCCTGAAAAATGAGATGATCATGAAAATTAACACTATATTATTTAATAAGAACTTTTAGCATAAACTAAAGCAGAGGTCCCTAACCCTTTTGGACCCATATGCATATGGGGAAATTTGAGGAAATGCTGTAGGCACTACCACAAAATGCTTAATCACTGAACTGCCATTCTGGCATCTGTGGTTTTTAGGCTGCATCTTATTCAACCTTGTTTTTGTTGTTGTTGTTGTTTTTGGTTTGTTTCATGTTTTCTTTAACAGCATTTCTTGAATAAGGGGCTTTCTACATCTAATGCTTCATTTAAGCATATATTCTGGCAATATCAAGTAGTTGCTTATTTTGTGAAGAAGATTAACAGACATATTTTTGTACTGGATCAATATTTAATATTCACTGATGTACATGCTTTTAAAATTCTTTACTTGCTTCTTGAAAATTAACAAATGATCAGTGTAAACAGATTCTCTGTGACCTTTTGACAGCTAAAAGACTGATACTACAACACTGGAAAACTCACCTGCAATAATGCAATGATAATGCAAGCTTACAAATTTTTCACTGGATAAGCAGGTGGCATATAAATTCCAACTTCAAACAGATAGTTATTTGGCTATTTAAGCCACTCTTGCTAAAGCCTATATGTACTTGCTAGAAAGCTGTATGCCTTTCATATGTATTCATTGCTATGAGCTCATATACGTATATTTAAAAGTTGTGTTTATTTGCTTGCTTTTTACAGTCTTGTGGATACCAATAGGCAGCATGTTGGGCACCCTGGCCTAAAAGTTCTGTTCAGAGAATTGGGAAGGTATTTCAGTTATAAAGCACTATATCTATTTTAACAGGAATGAAAAACTGGTTAAGAAAATGGGTAGGATGATGAACTGAAGGTGTCATGAGTTCCAGTTTCACATTAGTGCTATGCATACTGGCTTCTGCTATAAATACACTGAAACAGAATTTGCTTCCCTCACTGCAAGTTTAATCGTCCAGAAACACTGTCGTATTTATTTATTTATTTAAAACATTTTTATGCCGCCCCCATCACAACAAAGCCTCAGGGCGGCTCACAACAAAAACAAAAAATACAAATATCTGAACAAAACACACTAGGGTAGATTGCAATACTCTACTACATAATGGTACTTTCCTGACTCACTACCTCACCACACCTTCCTGCACGGCCAAAATCTGTTCCAGAGGACTGAGGAATCTTCTGGAGCAGTGGCGTGACATTAGAGTTTGGAGCCTGCAGAAACCATGAAAAATTGGCAGGGTTCTCTTGTCCAAGAGAAGATATTAGTATCTACATGTCTCAGTTCAAGCCACTGAGTACATTTCTTCTATTTCTACACAGTCTTAAGACAATTACTAAAGAAGTAAAGGTGAAATTTATTTTTCAGATTCTCCCAAGGAATAGAATGATCAATAGCTTCCATAAATTATAAGATTAATCTACTTATAGTCAAGACTTGCTAATGGATAAGGGAAGAGAGAAAATGGGACACCAGAAAGCTCTGAAAGAGATGCTGCAAATGTACTGCAAAGAAACAAAGAACAGGAGCCAAGAATAATTTGGACAGCAAGGAGAACACAGCAAATACTGATTTGTTTGAAATATAGCAGCAATGTGACAAGTTTATGCTAATATACTAATTTATACAAATGTAGCTATCACTATGTAAGACAGACACAGGGATTACTTTCAACTTCACTGTATGCTTCTCTTTAATCCACTGATATATATGCTTTTCATATCAGTTCAATAAGCAAGGAAATAAGACAAATAGCCCCCAAATTTCTTTAAAGGGCTTAGCCAGAAATAAGAACATATTCCATTATTTCTGGTGTTGAGTGATTGGCTCACAATGTTACCAAGAACTCCGGAAACTCTCACTCAAGCATTCTATTCATAACAAATCATAGGAAGAAGTAAAAAAGGGTTCATCATTTTTCCTAAGTGAAAAATTCAGGGCTCACCCTCAGCTGTTGCTGCCTTTGATGTTCTGATTCTAGTAACTGTTGTTTTAATTGAGACACACACTGTTCTAATTCTTCAATCACATCGGATGCCTGCAGGGATTTAACAGAAAAGGGAATGTTAGTCTTCTATTAACTCTGGCAGAAATAACTCCCTTTTTTCAAGTTATGCTTTAAAGGGAATGGGGAAAGATGATCTACTAGGAAAAAGATACAAAAACTTTTACATTCAAGTCTTGTACATTTGATTTCTCCTTAAAATGCAAATACTATTATAGTCATGATTGAATTTCAAACACTGCACTGACTGGCACCTGATTAAAAACTGTGCACACATTTCAGAGATACTATCCTCTAAAACATGTAATGTTCCTAGCTTAGGCTTCAGCCTTGTCAACATGCCTGGATATAAGCACATTAAGGCAAATGAGTAGACTCAGTTGAGTAAATTAAATTCACTCATATTTATGTAAGTGTATGCAAGATTAAAACCCCAGAAATTTATGCTGAAAGCTTTCTGCTTTATATATATTGTTGATATATAAGCCTATCTGTCCATATTCATGATTGTATACATCTAAACTTACCTTCATTGCAGAAAGAGCATGTTCCTGTTTAATCAAATTTAGGTCAGCATCGTATTTGGATTGCAGTTGGTGAATGTTTTGCTCATATTCTTGCACCAAACGCCCCTTTTCTTTTTGAAGTGAATTACGCCTGCAAATATTGAAAGGAAAACTAGGTGGTGATATAATATATAGCATAAGTTTCTCTTCCATTAGATATTTTACAATGTGAACAAAATCAACTTTATTTTCATACTTGAAAATAGAATGAACCCAGATACTGAATTGGTTTTGTGAAAATACACGAAATAAAATGAGAGATTACACATACTACTGATAATAGATAAACAGGGCTCAAAATACCCAGTCAGGGATACCAAATTAGTCAAGATACCTCTAAATTCACACCTTTCAACAAGGAGTTAAATGAATGGAAACACCAGTCAGAATAATGCCTGAGATATATTCAGTTCAAGACTTGTTTATATACTCCCAGGGATTATTTTGTAACTGCTATCTAAAGAATACTACCTTGGTCCAACAGAACAGGTTATTCAGGGGTCATTCAACCACATCATCTTGCTATCTATCTTAGATTATTTACAGAGTCACAGTATTGTTCTACTGTGAACTTTCCCAACTATGGATGAGTCTTGGTGAAACAAGACAAGAGACAAAATAGCAGCCCTTCCAGAAGCTTGAAAATAAAAGGAACAGGTACATTACAAGTCTAATTTTGCTTGGTATTAATAACTTTTAAATCACTTTTGATTCACTATATGAATGTGTAAACAAATCAAAACACAGGAAATTATTCCACAATAACAAGTAATTGGCAAGTAAAGTATGACAAACCAACATTTATGGAAATTAAAAATCAACTGCTGGGATCCCTTTTCAGTTACTGAGTATTAGCACTCGCTAACTAGCAGTATTGTATATACATTTATACCTGGTACACAAAGTAAAAGTACTTCATTAAATACCTTGCTTTGACTTCTTCAAGTTCTGTGCATATAGCCTGGTAGGATTGTTCCAGGTTGTTCTTTTCCTGAGATAGTTTTTGATGCTGTAAATGACTGGTTTCAGCTTCCATAGTCAATTGATGAACACGGGCCTCTAGCTCTTTCACCATCTGGTTCTAAATCAAGTTAAAACTATTAGGAATAAGTACATATATACCCTGGCTTCTTCTCCAAAGTTGATTCACCACACCAAAAAGATTCAAATCAAAGCAACAAAAACTTCACAAATACACCAGTTTCAAACATAATAGTAACAATTTCCAGTGCTCTCCACCCAGCATAATACCTAGTGGGCTGCCAGAGGAAGGTCCAAGTATTTCATACCTCCAACTTAGTTTCCACACTGGGTGTGGAAAGAAAGAACTAATCACTTTGTCTCTTTTTTGAGCAGTGTGCTTGCCTAGATAAGATTCCTAGCTGTATATGGAAAGCATGCAAGAACTGAGAAAACAGGCTGTATTACATTCCAGAAATATGAAACAAAATATATAAAACACATTCTTTTTGTTAAAAAAAAGTTTGTGTGACATAGGACTGTGAACAGGAAAAAATATTTTGAATCACTGCAACCAAAGGAAACTTAAAACCTCCATCAATTCACTGTTAGTTTACTGTGTATAACTGCAGTAATCTCTGGTCCAAGTATGCAATCTGAAGATTTTTACTGCTTATAGAAAAGCCAGATGAAGTATATTTTTGAAAAGTCGCTTACGCTATTATTTTTTGAAACACAAGCATCACATTAACAATATTTTTAATTCACAATAATGTATTTTAATAATATTTTTTCAAACAATGTATTGTTTCAAATTTTAAGGACTCCGTATGTTTCAACAAAAGTCAATCAAGTTTTTAATTATAGGATTTTCAGTAGACAGTACAGAGTAGTATCCTGCTCTTCTTAAACAATGGCTTTCAGATATCCTATATTTAGCCTATTTGACCATATGATAAGCTCAAAAGGATATCCCACTTGGCCATTTGGAGAGAATTTGACAAGAGAAAAAAATGAGAAGAGTGCTAACACAACTTTTCCTTTTTGAAGAAACTATCATCAATTCATAAAAAATACAGAGAAAACTGAAAATACCCAAATTATCATTTTAAATGTTTTGATAATGAATCCTGATAACAGGAAAAATAAAATTAATCTCTCAAAAGTTTTCCTAATATTGTTGATTTCATACATTTTATGAACTATTCATTATGTACTATTGAAGACTTCTCGCTACAGCAAGAATGAGCTTAACACAATGATGCTTATTACCACCAATGTAAGTGGGTTCAATTCCAATGTTTAATGTGAAAAACACTTGAAGATTAGAAAACCTTTCCAGAACAATGTGGTTTGTAGTCTATGCAGGTACCCACAAAACAAACACACAACCCAACACCAAAGAAGCCAGAGAAATTATTAAGGACAGTTTAAGGACCTGCCAAATCACAGCTGGCAAGCCATGCAATAGACTATTATACATGCCAACTTTACAGCCCAGTTTATATGGAAGTTTGCAAGCATTACAGTAGTATCTGCACAAATGCAGTGCTACAAATTGTGTTTTCTTACAATTTAACTTCCATGAATTCATACTTTTCAGGTCCAAATCCAAGTAGGTAGGGGTGCCTCAAGCCTTCAGAGACTGGTCCTGTGCTGCCTTATGAAACATCTGAGCTTCCTGTATTGCTAGAGCAGTCCTCCTATGAATTGAATCATGTCTGTCTGTTGCTTGTAAGCAAATACAATTTCTAACTTTGCGCAATGTTACCAAGTCATGGGACAATATCTTTTCAGGAATCAGCCTCAAATTCCGATTTCCTGGCTTAACTCTGGATTTAAAACAAGGTGGATAAACTATGATCTAAAAATGATAGTTTAACTAGAAAACTTTTAAAATCATATAAAATACATTTATCTCAAATGTACCTTTACAAACAGTTACAATGAAGTCCCATCATAAACATGCCACACGTATACTTGTTTCGTAAAAATGAATTAATAGCTATGTCACATTCTCATACACTGGCAAGAATATGAGAATTCTTTAGTGTTCCATCTCAGCAAAAGGGCTCTGTTCAGTCTATTACCAGCTCTTGCTTCTGGAAAATTCTGGACCTAATTTGGATCAGGAATATAAAGATTGCTATATGCACTTTAACCCTCTGCCTACAATTTATTTTACTACCTGACGTCTTTTTGGCAACATAAGGTGGAGATGAGGGAAGCCTGATAGCAAAGGAGAAGGGACTAAAGGGTTAAAGGCTGCTCACCCCCATCCTACATATTTGGGTTCCAATCAGTTCAGCCTATGATCACATTCCTTAACTAATGGAATAAACATTGCACATTAAATGTGGCAGATTTCCTCTACAACATTTGAAAACACTGGTATACTGGCTGCATTCTAGATTCAAAATGAAAATGAGCATGCATGACATAACTTTGTAAGTAGCTGCTGCCACACCCTTTAATAGGAAAGTTTTTACTTTGGAATCACTACTCAGAACTTCAGGAAACCAATAAACTTTTTGCCTCCTCAGTAAGCCTGAACATTTTACTAAATGTGAAAGAAATATATGAAAAGCAGTGCTGCAAAGGAATAAAGGGGGAATGTGCCAATTTTCAGTACATTTTAATTTGTTCTTCCTGTGACCATTTTTGTTGGATCAGTTTTGCACAAATATAGCCCTCATTAGGTAGATCACAGAAGCCAAAACAGTCACTAGCTCAAATTAATAATGAGCTGAATGAAGGGCAATAAACTGAAGCTAAATCCTCAACATGGTGGCAGTGTAGTGGGGGTACAATGTGTTTTGAATGGGGCTGCTTTCTCCCAAAAGGATCAACTGCACAGCTCTCTCTCTAGGACCTATAATTACTTTTTTATTATTGCATTATTATCACTATTACAATGCTGTGTTGTGCTTAAGATGTTTTGTTGAATATGGAAGTGTTTCTTAAGCATTTTATATGCACAGAAAAGAAAAATATATAAATATGCTAAGGCAAACATTTGGCTTACTCATGTGATCTGACTTGTATACAAATTCAACCTAAGGACATTCTCAGGAATGGAATTCATCCATAATCCAGGGACTCCCTGCAGAGGGGGAAGGCTTCAGCTCTTCTTGGTGCACTTTGCTCTCCACGGCAGCACAATAGTGCTTCTCCTGCCTGCTGCCTCTGCTCTGCTCCTGCCTGTTTCCAGGGAGAATAACAGCACCAGGCTGGGGGCTGATCATGTTCAGTAAATAGTTTTTCTAAATTGATAAAAACAGCTTTGTTTAAAAAAATCGTGCTTGAAGTAAAGGACTTCAATGGATCACTGAGCGAAGTGCAGATGGGGACATCTCCATTACAACTCTCCCACCCCCACACATACACCCCACCACCACCTCACTTCTTTCTGTTGAAGCTGGCTCTTGAGACTTGAATCTTGCCTCAAATATTTCTTGCAGTGACTTCAGACTCAACTTGGACTTGAAAGTAGACTAGAGACTTGACTTGAGACTAAGAGTAAAGGACTTCAACACACTGCTGATAACTCTTTAAGTTTCTGAAGACTTCTCTAGAGAACTGTTATTTGCTACATGTGGTTGTGAAGGACCTGCACGTAATCCACTCTTCCTGGCAGAAAGTGGTGTCTAACTTAACTAAATACTGCATATTTGTCTGTATTGGGACCTTCCTGAGTCTGGTCCCTGAAGGCTGGATCAAACACTATCTTCTACCAAGAATGAGTGGGCAGACAGTACAAGGCATGAGTAAGAAAGAGAATCGCTCTCTTGTACACTACATCATGAATCTGGCCTATTGATTTTTTTCTTTAAATTCTACTCCTATGTCTTAAAAAGGCCATCAAACTTCAATTATTGTAATCTGAAATATTCACCATCCTGCTTCCCTTCCACTTGTTGGGATTTTTTTCTGATGTTCCATTTTTATTCTCCATCAGGGGATATCATATCATATAAGGTGGAAAATTATTAGCGATCAATGCGAATGAATTTTAGAATAAGCCACCATACAGACCTATTTGCTCAACAGTCCTGGTCCAAAACTAGAAACTGTCAAAAGTACAAAGAATACATATACCTTACCCTCCAAAGTGGCCACCTACTTAATAAAATAAGTATCTTTTGCAAAAATATATATTCATATTTATTCAATGTATATGAATAAATATAACATATTACTATATGTAATTTTGTGTAAAGGTCTCTTTTCTCCTGATAGACCTACATCTAATCGATGAATGTTTATTTCAAGTAAATAATTTGCAAACCTTGTACTCTTAAAAACCTAATACTTCATGAAAAAGAAGTGGGAGGAATCTGAAATATTAAGAGCAACTAATTTTCAGTGAGTCTAACCTTTCATCTTAAGTCATGCCTTCAACTCTATCTTGCTTAATTATTAAAATCAGGAACTGCTGTGCAGGATCTGTCTGCTTTTGATGGGTCTTAAATTCAATTCTGCTGACAGCCTGTGTTCATTTCTTGCCATATTTGTCATTACCTGTGACAAGTCTCAAATGCTGTTCCCCCTTCTAATCGAATTTCCATTAGCAACAGAATCTAAAGTTTGGAGGAGGTTTTTACAGGCAAAATAAAAAAACTGGTCACTTCTCCAAACATGCAACAGTAACACTGCCTTACAGCTCTAAGTATAAAATTCATCTCATAAGTAGTCCAGAATGAGGGCACTATGAAACAAAACCACTTGGTTGAGGAAGAGACACTTCTGCAATGGATTTAGTAGTCTAACACCTGTTTTATTCTATTTATTTACTGTAAGCGGTCCCGAGACATTTGTTGGGATAGAAATGCTTTTAACACACACACACAACGGCTAGAATTAAGAAATCAAGTACTGACATGTCACGCAAGATGAGAAAGTTTGCCATACGGAGGAGGAATCTTTCTGAGATACTGTCTGTTCTTTTTCAAGGACCCTACTCCCAACATGCGCGCATGCACACACACACACACACACACGTGCATGCGATGCCAGTACACTCATTTGATCAGATCCATCAATTTTTCACCAAACACTACTAGTGTGTGCCATCATTCCATCCCATAATTCTGGAAGCAGAAGAAGCTGCTTCATACTGGAACCCTTGGTTCATCTAGCCTAGAATTGTTAATACTGACAACCTTCCAACTTCTCTCAGGTTTTCAGGTAGGATTCTTTCCTAGCTCTACCTAGAGATGCCTGTCACTGAATGCGAAGTACGCACTCTACTTAGAGCCCCTGTAAATCTAGAAGCCTTAAGTCATTATATGTAACTACAGCTGGAATAAAATTTCTGATACCAGAAGTATGCTTAATGCTGTAACAGTACAAAGAAAGCTTTCACTGTTTCAGTGAATTTTCAAACCATGTCACTGGAAGCAACAACCACAACCCAACATAATCTCCATGATTTATATCTCCTAAATGGTGCTCAAGGCAAGTGTCCCTGCGTGAACATCTAGAGATCACTAGTGACACTAAAAATAAAATTATCATAGTTTATTTAAACTGATTTATTCCCCATCTTCTAATAAAATGTCTAGCATTTATTAGCATTTCATACATTCAAGATGGTTACATTTCCTACATTCAATCAACTATTACAACATCCCAGTAATGAAGAGCAAGTATTACTAAAATAATAATATTTTGTCCACCTGCTGAATTCACTGCAAAGAAATGAAAGAAAGTTACACTTTTTCTCACCCTGCTTCTTCTGCTCCCTTTTTACTAGCTAGGTTTAGAAAACTGTGACCATGGCAAAGGCTAGAGCATGGGTGTGTATATTCAGGCCCCCCAAATAATCTTGGACTACAACTGCCATGTTCGCTAACCATTGGCCATTCTGATGGGCGCTGGGAAGTCTAGCTACAGGAAATCACATAAGAAGACAAAAGAAAATAAACAAACTGCTAAAAAGATACGTTAAGCTCTTTGTACAAAATATGATGCTTGAGGAACATAAGGCAGGTTCACACAACCTGCTAAGCCAAGCCAACAGAACTTCTTGGTGAAAACGCTGAAAATAAGCTATGCAGTGTGGGTTGTCTGAGGAATGCTATGTGCACAACTGACAACTGCAATCACTACAGTTTGTTTTTCCATTCTATCTCCCTGTCTTCCAGCTGGAATCACAACACCCTTCACAGCAAAATCGGTTTTGCCTTCCCCTCCATGTTCTGATTGCCACACCTTTTGGATTGTCTTTTTCTTAAACAATTTTTGGATCCTCAAAAATGTGCTATTGGGGTTTTATTTCTTTTTTGCTCCAGAAAATTATGTAAATGTGTGTATTTTTGCTGTTCTCAGCCTTTTCCAAGTACAAATTTATTGCTGTCCAATACATACAGGTAGTCTTGCCTGGTCCATTTTCATACTTAGTGGAAAAAGGGAGCAGAGAAGTGGAATAGTATCTGCTGTCAGCCTGTTTTTCCCTCTCCTTTTCCTTTTCAGCGGTTCAAAATGAATGCTCATAACTTGTTAACCTTGACTTTTCAGAGTCTTCTGCCAACCCCCTCACCCATTTCACATACTGTTTTGGGATAAAGCTGAAAACTGACAAGGTAAGACTGCATATTAATAATAATAATAATAATAATAATAATAATAATAATAATAATAATAAGCAAATTGCTCACAGTTGCTAGAGTCCAATTACCAAGTTATCATCAGAAAAACACAAAAAACACTTTTTATGGTAATGGCTGCCCAAAGAGCATGATGCTAATGGGCAGCTCTCAAACAAGTTTAATAAACAAATAAAAAGAGAAAAAACTAGAAAAGGTAGGCATACCAAAAATGGATAATACAATCCTACTGCTTTTGAGTGTTGAACCAACAGTTCACAGTACTGTCTACCTTGTTAACACTTCACTGAGTTTCCAGATATTTCAAAAAGGGAAAATATTGGCTTCCATACCTTGTCATGGCTTTTTCTCCATGTGTTTACTGTTGCAGTTACTGCAAGTCCCCAAAAGTTATTTTAAAAACCCCAAACCTAGAAATACTGTAGAGCCCTAACATTTCTTTTAAAACAAACAAAATATAGACAAACCGAGCAGTTGAGAAGTAAATGTAGAACAATTTTGCATAAACGTAAGAGTCAGGAAATAAAAAGGAGAAAAAAATTTGCACTTTTGTGGCAGGCACAGACATTTTCATTCTGTTTACTTCTCAACCATTAGATCTACAGACATTTTGCAGCTCAAAACATTGCACACAGGCACGAATGCACACCCTCCACTTACATAGGTAGCAGGCCAGAATGGAGCAAATGGGGCACCAACCACGTTTGCACTCCCTCCCCATGGAGCGCCATTCACTCCAAGCCATTCAACTGCTTTCTCAGGGTGGAACTGTCAGGAAACCACAGCAACCACATTAATTTTCTGGGCCTGAATTTTTTTTTTTTTTTTTTTTTTTTTTTGTTGAAGGGTGGTGAACCAGTGGCTCTCCCCTCAAAGTGTTACCTGGGCATTACTAGAGGCTGTCTCTAGTATGTGACTAGCTACACCTTTTGTCAGAGACATCTTATGTAACACCCACAGCACTTTTTCAAACACCCAAATATGCCCACAGGTTCAAAAAGGGTCTTTTAAATGTTCCTTCAGTAACGTCCATATTTTGAGTTCTATAAGAAGATTAACATACCTTTCAACCTGGCAATTTTTAGGCTTATTGCTATGATATGAAGAAATATTTAACTGTACTTCGCTTTCAAGTAAGGTTTTCTATAACAATATACTTCAAAAAAGATCAGCACTCTAATACACTTTTTCATGATATCTGAATCATGCAAATATACTTCTGGTAATCAGTTCATGAAACTTACAGTTGCTTTGGTTTGTGCCAAATATTCTGCTTCCATTTTACCTAGACGTCCATTTGTATCCTCTAGCAATTCCTGGATATTTTCTGTGTGCTTCTTCTGAAGATCAAACTTTTCCTTTTCCATTTCAGTCACAGCATTATGGAGCTATACACAAATTAAAGTAACAATGAACAATGGCTAAAACTGCAGCTGATATTTTTTTAAAAATTAAAATATGATTTCCACATGCACAGCATATTAGTACCATTTCCTATAATTTTCTTGGTATGGTTAAAAATATAGGAGGAAGAGAGGGGCTATACAGGAGAAATCACAGGAAGCATTTCCACCTTCCACTGCCTCAGACATTCTAGTCAACCATCCATTAGAGAGTTTAAGGGCAATATTGTGGCACAAGTATCACATGGAACTTAATTCTCTTGGTCAGGCAGATCAGGCCATCTGTTACCAAAAAAAAAGTTATAAACAAGGTATAACTAAATAAAAGTTATATCCACACACATAGTGGAACTATTTAGCCACTGTTACATAGTTAACAGGCTCTATGTGTCGCTGAATATTGAAGTTGAGAAAGCAATTTTCCTACAAGATGCAACTGCTCAGATGTTACTATGTTTCAGGCATCACTATGGGGTACTTAAAGAACATGTAAAAGTCATGAAAAACAAAATAGCTTCATGGGCAGAACCAGCACAGCAAGACAAATCTCAATCTGATTTAAAAATGTATGTCTAATTATAATGCTTTATACTTGCCTTGCCTCACTTGGTGCCTTCCAAATGTGTTATGCTACAAGTACCAATGACCCTTCTTGCTGAAGATGGTGGGCTCTGTATTCCAACAGATCCACAGAAGATCTCATTTGAGAAGTGTTGTTTGTATCTACCTTCTCGAATCTTGTGAAGCTGGGTTCTGTCAGAGGTCATGTCAAAGCTATAGTAGCTCACATTAACAGATGATTCCATTAATCCTTCCTTTTGTTTTTTAGCAAAACTCAACCAGTCCCTGCATAAGATGTTGGCCATAATCAGCGGTAATTAGGATGTAAGCCAAGCTTTGAAAAGCAGCACTGGAACATATTTCAAAACCAGAACAAGCACAGCTGTTCCATAGGTATGGAATTCTCAAACAGGGGAAGAGATACTCAAGAGTTTGGGAGAGTGATCCCACAACCTTCTTCTAGCCTTTCATTATAGAATTAAAGAGTTGCCTCCATGTCAGCTTTGAAAAGGGTCGGCTCTTGTCCTTATTGATTTTCGTTAAGAACATGCAACCAGCCATGATCAAAGGTCTATGAAGTCCAACATTCTGTTCATGCAGTGGCCAATAAGATGGCTACAGGAACCTCACAGCAAAACCTGAACGCTCCCTGCTTGTATTCACGAGTAAATAGCATACAGAGGCACACTACCTGATGCTGGCAGTAAATCACAGCCATCGTAACAAATACTCATTGACAGCTTTATTCAAGATGAAGTTGCCTAACTCCCTATTAAAATCTCTTAAGTTACTACATCGTACAGTAGAAACTTCCATAGTGTAAGTGCATGTTGTGTGAACAGACACTTCTTTTTACTTGACATAATTCTCCTACCACTGAGCTTCACAGAATGAAGGTTTTTGCATCCGAAAAAAGGTGGGACTGTTATGGGGGAGAACATGCCCCTAAGATCTGAAGGTTATGCATTTAAATGTGTTATAAGGATCACTATAAAACTATAATCTTCATTTATCTCTATAATTTTTCTTGGCAATCCACTCAGGAAGCATCTCATTGTTGTTTGAATAAATAAATGGAAAAATCTATTTCTGAAATACTTTGAATATATTTTCTTTTTCATATTGGAAGGTCTAGTACAAATTATAGAAACTAGAAAAAAAGAATGACAGGAACTGGAAGGCACTTCAGATTGCTCATATGATCCCTCAGTCATTTAGATTACTGCAATGCACTGTAAGTGCAGATACCTTTGAGAACAGTCCAGAAACTCCAACTGATCCAAAACAAGACAGCAAGACTGTTAATGGGGACTGGCTCATGAGAACATACTATGCCAATCCTCGTCCAGCTGCACTGCCTCCCAGCTGAAGTCCAGACCGGATTCAAAGTGCTAGTACTAACAGTCAAACCCTAAGCAGCTTGCGGCCAGGTTATCTGAAGGGTCAACTCATCCCCTATGTACCTACCCTGACCCTGAGGTCATCTTTGGGGGTCCTTCTCCAAAAGCCTTCCAAAATAAGTGAGGTAGGTGGCTACGAGGAGGGGGGCTTTTTAGTTGTGGCACCCTTGTTGTAAAATGAGTTTCCCAAGGAGGTGTGCCTGGTGCATTCCTTGTATTATTTTTGGCACCAGGTGCAGACCTTTTTATTCTCCCAGCATTTTAACAGTTTAAACTTTTCACTTCATTTTTAATATTTTAATCTGTACTGCTGCTATGCTTCTATGCTGACTAAATCACAATTGCAATTGTGGTTTTGTTGTTTTAAGTTAATGTTATCTTTTCTGTGTTTTTTGTCTGTGTGTCTGCATTTTAAATTTTTATTCATCTTTCTTAACTGCCCGGAGAGGCTCAATTATTGGGCAATATCAAGATGAAATAATAAAATAACATACATTTGAAAAAAATAAATAAATTGATACACAAACATATTATACCTGAGCAGCAGATCATGTTCAGCCTGAGATGCAACAAAACTAAATACAAGTTGATAAGGGTAAAATCTTATACATCTTTAAAAAGAAGTAAGCCCAACTCCCAGAACTCTCTAGCTAGCCATGGTAACTGGGGAATTCTGGGAGTTACAGAACTATTTTCTATCTAAGCTTGTGGCTCACACCCACCCTGAAAGATTTTCTTTGAGCTTATCGTTCATTCCCAAAATGATAAGCACCTTTAATTTGGAAAACAATTAGGAAAATGTAATATAGAATGGTTTAAAATATAATTTTCATTTATTAATGTTTTAATCAAATTTAAAATATTTAGGGAGTTGTAGGACATCTTTGTCTAAACATGTATAGGACTGCACCCTTAATTAACAGAAAAATCCCAATTACTCTAGCAGCAGACTGTATATTTTCCTACATTTTCAACAGTAAGTAATATCCATTACCCTTTTCTCCCACTCATTGTTCAGGGAATCTGTACTTTGTTCACATAACTTTTTTAGCTCCATGATTTGTTTTTCCTTAGCTTCTCTAATGACTTGTGATTCACGGACAAGCGTCTGAACTGTCAGAAAATAAAGAAAAGAGAAAAGAAAAAACAATACATGACATGACCTTCGGGTTATTCCATCTGGCAAAGGGATATAATCAGTGTTCCAACTGATCTCACTTCATTTAGAAGCACTATTTCATTTTAATGTGTGAAAACTCACCCTGATTGGATTTTTTTAAAAAACCTCTGAATGGTAAACAATGATCATTCCTTCAATGTATTTCTAGGCAATTTATCTCCTTAACTGTAATCATATAACTTCTCAAAGTTTTCAAAAGTTACTTTAATTATATTCAAGTTACATCTCTATTAGGGATTTCAACTTTTTTCTTGTTTATTAAAGGCCACATTATCATGTTAACAGCTGCTTTTGTTAAGTCTCCTCAATCTGAAAACTAGGCATATGAGAGGCTAGTACAAAGGGCTAGTACTAAAACATAAGACAATCCTTGAGAAAGGACAGGTTTGCTTACCTACAAATGCAGATCTTTGAATAGTCACCTCTGCATTCACATCTAATATGGACTCTGTGCCTTCATGGAGATTCACTAGCTGAGAAATTTTAGGTAGAAAACCCTCCACATATACCTTCCTGTATATGTCCCTAGTGGGTTTCCACCTATCCCTTTGGGTTCCTTATGGCTGACAATATATCCCCTCAGTGATCCAGAAACTGAGGGCAGTATTATTACCTGTATTGTCAGTACCACACAAACAACTTTTATTCCATTTCCAAAACTTGAGATTAACACTGAGGTGCGGATAGTGGGTGGCTGTATAAATGCAGATATAACCACTTAAGGAACTACAGCTACAAGTAGGCAACTGGTCTTTCTTCTTCATGATCTCTGTGCATCACACTTATGGGCAAGTAGCAAACTGTCACACTTACTGAATATGGGGTAGTATCATCAAAGAACCACAAAAGGCAGTCTCAGTCAATAATGAAAGTAGGTGACCTTGACCATGTAGCTGACAAGGAAACCACCCATCTGACAAGGAAACCCCTCTGCTGAGCACAGTAGAAGTAGTCACCCCACATATCCAGTGTGTTCTTATTGGTCCTGAGAGCGCCAACTCTGAGAAATCATGCGTCATCTCAGTCTGAACAACCCATGATGCAAGATGTTGTGATGAAATAGGTAAGATATGAATCTGTACCCATAACATATGAACAGATGGGCAGTTTTATGGAGAGGCTTTGTTCTAGCTTTATAGCTAGAACCTAAGCCAGAACTTATCTCACATTGAAAGAGCAAAGGGCCAGCTCCACTGGTGAGGTTGGGGAGGTAAAGGAATCCTGCATCATACCTTGGTTCAGATGGAAGTCAGAAAAGACCTTGACAAAGACGGATCAGGCCATAAAACCATGTCCATGTGAAAATCCATGGGGAATCTACTTGAAGTACACTCAGTTCACTGAATTACCAATATAAACACAATGAGAAAAATGACCTTCCAAAACAAGAGTCAATGATCAGTTGTTGCAAGAAGTTCAAAGGCTTTGATGTCAGTGCCTGTAGAACTATTGCCATACTCAGAAGCATTACTGCGGAATGCATGCTGGAGCAATGTTTCATCTTCCTTGGGGAAAACCAACAGAACAGATAGTGAGAAAAACAGAGAACTTTCTATGCAGACACGAGTGGTGAAAATTGCTGCCAAATAAACATAAAATGAGTACGTTCTCAGGCCATTATTGAATAAAGATAAGGAAAAAAGAGACACAGAAGAATTATTAGGATCCACCTTGGCCTTGAATGCAAAAGATGAAAGAATAAATCACTTGTAAGCATAGGCTGATTGTGTGGAGGGCTTCCTTGCTTTAAAAAAAGGATCAGTTCCAGAGCAAGAGTCTGAGGTATAATCATGGACAAAGTCTTCAAGCCACCAGATGCAGAGATGCCTAGGTGCTGCTAAAGTCAGGCAGTAGAATTTGTGAGGCTGAAAAGGGGGTCAAACCATTCCTGCTGTGGCAATCAAGACATAATCAGGATTAGATCCATTTCATCTGCTCAGTTTCATCAGGACATATGCAAATAGTGGAAACAATAGAAATGGGTAAAAAAGAATTCCCATCAAACAGTTTAGAAATGCATCACCTCAGGAGCCCTGACCACTTCCCATCCAACTGTAAAACACTGGCCATACTTAGTTGTCCTTCACTACCAATAGGTCTTTTCAAAGAGAAAATGCAGCACACACATAAGGTGCGATGACTGACTTAACAGGTCTATGATGGTATTGTTCATCCCCACAATATGTATTAATCTGAGGGTGATGTCCTGCTGAATAAATTAATGCCATATCTAAATCACAAGAGTCAAAAAGCAGGTCAAGGGTGCACCCCTTGCTTGTTGATATACTGGTAGTGTCAATGGCCACTTAATATGACAGCCCTTAAGTAATGCACAAAACATCCAAAGAAATCAGTTTTGTAGCTGTCACAACATTCAAAGATAAGCAACCCTAGCCACAGCCGCCACGAACACTGTAAAGTGGCGTTTGTATTTGGTAGGCGTTTGTCCAAGAGTAGCTGTATAGCTTGGCTGCTAGTGCTGCTCAAATCATGGGTCTGAGGTTGATATGCCCGGCCAATGGAAGAGTTGAGTATTGCTCCTATATATAAAGATTTCCATAAGTATAAGTGCCTGTTTGTCATAGTTGACTCAAAGTTCAAATGAATTTAAAAGGGGAATGGTACTAAGAATAGATTGGTTGAAGGTCTTGAACCTCTGGGGCAACAAGCAGGCAGTTGTCCAGCTAAGGATAAACACCTTCAAGTCAAAGGTGGGTCCAGTCCCACTATGTTCTTGGTTAATAGTCTAAGATCCACTGCCAAACCAAAGGGGAGGCCCTGAAACTGGTAGGCATTAGATCCAATGTTGAAATGCAGGTAGTGCTGGTTTATTCCATCCATTCCAATGTGAAGACAGAGATCCATCAACACCAACCCGTCTCCCTTATTTAATTCTATTTATATTCTGCCATTTTCCTTCCCAGAAACTCAAGGTGTTTTACGTAATTATCCTCCTCCTCTCAAACTTACGCTTGCAACAGCAACTCTGTGAGGTAGGTTGGGCTGAAAGTCTGCGTCTGGACCAAACTCACCAAGTGAGCTCCATGGCTGAATTCCAGTCCAGCATTCTTAACTAGCACAACACACTAGTCTCTTATGAAGGGGTTGACACTGAGATTAGTGTCATAATAAAGTTTAGGAGTTGACATTCCTGAAGTCCAAGATTGGACAATGTCCTCTATCCTAATTCAGCATCATGAAATGGCTAGAGTAGAAGCCATCTAGCTGCAAATTATTCAGAATAGGGATAGCTGCTTGTTTTCAAGAACAAAATGAACTTTCTGCCTTTGGAACTGGTGATGGAGAGGCAGAAAGAATGGTGCCTGTTCAAGTCAAGTCTGTAGATTATCCAGATGATGTTCAGGGCCCAGGCATCAGTTGCTATCACCTTTCATGTAGCAACAAAGGATAAAAGATGAGATCCAAACATAGGTGTAGAATAAAACATATCAGCCAAGACTGCAGGGTCAATGATATCATCACTCCTTGCCCTCTATTCTCTTAAGGTTCCCCACAGGGGTGTGTGGTAGGGATATGCAAGGAATCCATTTGGGCCGAGCTCCCCAGACTGTGGTCTGATTTGCAGTGGCCCTGAGTCAATGTTCCTGGCAAGCACTCCAAGCATTTGTGTGGTGCGTGCCAGGAACTGAGTTCCACATGATGCACAGACAGCACCCCTCTTCCGCACCTGGTGCTGCTAGCACTGCTGCACCAGGCAGACGATGATGGGTGGCTGAGGTTGCCAGGAATGATACCTGATGCAACCACTCACAGCATCCCTCTTACAAGTCCTGCAGTCACTCTTTGTTGCAGCTACCAGGAAAAGTTGCTGATTGCACAACCAGGGGTCCACAAGGACTCACAGATTTCCTTTTGGCTCACCTTGCTTTGCAATACTGGGCTGAGCACATGAGGAGATTCACAGATGCTAGAAGGGTGGATATCAAAAGAGTTTGTGTATATTACATAACCATATTATTTGTTACCATACTAACATCTCAGTAGTGAGGCACGTTATTGCTGAGAAAAGCAGTCAGGCTGACCATGGAGCCTGCCAAGAACACTTTGTTACTGTTACATGCTGTCAAGTCATATCTAACCTATGGCGACCCTATGAATGCATGAGCTCCACATGGTCCTGTCCTTGAATGTGCGGTTCAACTGTTGTAAATTCAAGGCTGTGAATTGTTTATGTAGTTGATCAATTTCATATTTGGCCAAGCCCAGGTTGCTGGAATGGTTGGGAAGTTTGATTTAGTCCCTTCCCATGCGCCACAGTCCTTGCATTCTGTGTGGTGCCTAAGTCATCATTAGTTTTTATTGATATGTTCAAATTTATAGGCAGCTGAATAACAACAGGTCTTTCCAAGTGGCAAACAACAAGATGCAAAGCTAATTTAATTACAATTTCTATGTGGGGTGGGGTGGGTGCGGGGGGAACCAACAGCAGGCATTAGAACAAATTACAATCAAGTCGTTAAAATCAGGTTTTAAAATACCTACAGAAAATGAGAGTTTCTGCCTGGGACCAAAATGATAGTAATGATGGTGCATGGTGGACATCACTATTTAAAAAAAAAAAAAAACATTCCGAAGGTGGGGGGCAACCGCTGAAAGGGCCCTTCTTCTAATCACCATCACTCTCACTTCCTTTAGGAATGGATCACTTCCCAGATTCCAGTGGGTGGGTGTATATGGGGAAAGGTGGTTCATCAAGTAAGCAGGTCCCAAGCCATTTAGGGCTCTGCATGCTAAAACAAGCACTTTAAATTGGGCCCAGGCTTCAATGGCAATCAGTTTAATTTATACAAAACATAATGGGCAATGGAGTTTGCTTGGGTGAAAAAAAGGAAGGCAGCCTCCTTTCTCCAGAATCTATACATATTTTCTAACTGGAGGTTGAAGTCATGGGAGAAGGGACTTTCCAAGGCTGCTGAACTGCCTGGAGTGAAGACAGAAGGAATGGGACTACAACTGATGCCAAAGCCTCAAACAACACTGCAGATCATGCATCCTCTGCAGTGGCTGTGGTTTCTCCAAACCCAATAACCAAGCAAACCCCTGAATTTGGTTGGAAAAGTGAGCCATGTTCTTGGATGGGGACATCCTGACAGAGAAGATACTAATGGAGTGACAGATAAGCATAATGTGAAATCCAATGAAGAATCTTAGACAGCAGATGATGGTGAAGAATCTGGCTTCTGGCTAGTGGGATGGGTGTTGGAAAGGATGGGTTTGTCAAGTATGCTGTATCAAGGTGATTAAACTAACTGAGGTGCTGAATTTCCAGGAAATGCCCATATTGAAGCCAGCATAATTTAAAAATATAAGAAAAGCCATGCAGCACCAGACCTATCTTCCATCTAGTCTAGCATTCCATTTACATGGTAGCAGGATCTCTCAAGCAGTATGAGTACAACAGCTCCCTTCTGTCCAAGTTCTCTAGCCACAGATGTACACGGACATACTGCCTGTGAACCCAGCACCTCACCATCAGGACTAGTAGCCCCTGACAACCTTCTCCATGAATCCTCCTTCTATAGTTGGCCAAATTGATGGCCATCACTACTTCCTGTGGTAGTGAATTCCATAGTTTAACTATGCACTGTAGAAGAAGCACTTCCTTTTATCTGTCCTGAATCTCCCACAAACCAGCTTCTAGTATTTGGAGTGGGCGGAGTGTTCAGAGCAATGTGGGAAAAGGATGTATGACACATCATCCCGCTGACAGTTTCAAATGGGAAGCAGATAATGTCTCATGCCTGGCTTTTACAGGAGCTCCTGCAAAGAAATGCAGCTCATACTAATAATCATGATCGTGAAAAATCCTCCAATCATAGCAATAGTAGAAGCAACAGGAAGGTAAATTCCATTATGAGTTACTTGTTCCAATTTGACATAGGTGAACAAGACCAGCCCCAGCAAGAGCAATAAACCCTGTTACCAAATCAAAACCATGATATGATGGGGAGATGCAATGGCAATACAGAGTGCTGAAGTCCCGCACCTGTGCCTTGGCCCCAAGGGGGAAAGGAGCTTGGACCTCTCCCTCAGATGCAGAGATGCCAGTATTAAGTCAAGAAGACTGTAACGTGAGAACTGCCGTATTCAAGAGTGGCAGAGGAGAGGGGACTGACACTAAACACGCTGCGGAGACTCGCACATTAGAATCTTTCTCCTCCTACATGTCAGAAGGCTTTGATGTCTTTGCCTTTTTAGATAATTTGATGGCCAAAGAGAGAGCCAAAGACCTACCTGGAGTTGGATGATAGGTCATTTCTTTGACCTTCACCCTCAAGGTCGAAGACATGGCAGAATGTGCCAGTGAGGGTGCTCAAGTTGATGCTGAAGCAGAAGTGAAATGTGAACAGTTTGGATGAACAGTTTTTAGCATCGTTTTCCAGCAACCATTCCAACAATTCTTAAATGCTTGCTTGCTAAATTCTTGGCAGTGAACAGGTATCTCCACTGCATGTTTTTCACCCATGCAGAACAGACAGAGGAAATGTCTATTTTTTGCTGGTAGCTTACTTCCACCATTTGATATACTTTGTAAATGCTGCCTTCAAGGCAGTAGAGACCGAAAGAAAAAAACAGTTATGTGAGACTACAAAATGCAACATTACAAAGTAGCAAAAAAACAGAAAGGAGGGGAAGTCTCAGAAAACCCATCACAGTCTGCACTGGACAAGATAAGCCTCCTTCAAAGCAAAGATCAGCAGTTGAAATCTGCTAGGGACATGCTTGGTATTGCACAGGATGCAGAAATTCTTCCCACCAAAAATTCTTCAGCTAGAGAAGCTACCTGAACAAGGTTCCACCCAGGCAGGGTACCCATGTGTGTGATGCACAAAGATCACAAAGAATTTCAAGATAAAATGAAATAAAGCACAAGTAGCATGACACCACTAACAACATGGCAGCAAAGTAGTATAAGGAAGAATAACTGGTAAATTCAAAGTCTGCTAGACTTGGACCAGCCAGAGCTGAAAGAGTACACAACTTTATCCACGTCTTCTTAGCTTTCTCCTAGCTTTTTATCTTTCTCTCCCAACAGTCTCAGGGGGAGAGAAAATGCAAAGCTGCTGTTATGAGAGGCATTCTCTGGGAAATGAAGGAGCTTTGGATCACCCACTCTTCCCTGGCCTGCCACTAGCACACCCCTTCTTGCCCTTAGCACTTGTTGGAAATGAAAGAGGCAGTCGTTCTTGGCACACATTCCAAGGACAGGGTGACACAGACTCTTTGGATGTGGAGGATGAGGCCTGGGAAATGAGGCCTCCAGACACAGAGGAGGCAGGAAAGCTTATGCTCGAGGCTTCAGCTGTTCAAGCAGGCCCTGAGAACCATCAAGCTCTGCAAGTGTCAGGAAGGGGCATGAGAAAGGAGCCAGAGGAATCTGGTACAACCCTTGAGTCCATGAAAGGGTGTCATGAGAGAAGAGCTAGTTGAGTAGAGGGGCTCCATACAGCTAGAAGGCTTGCCCATCTCCAGAGCGGCACTCCCAGAGGGATGGAGTCTGGGGTCATTCAAAAGGAGGGTTCGCAGAAATAATTTCTAGTTTGGGTTCAACAAACCACTCTGAACGCTCAGAGTCTCTTTCTTCACTGATGATAAGTCTGCTGGATGAACATTGGGCATTAGAGGTTTTGCCCAAGAACAGGGTTTTGCCAAAGAAATAATAGTCTTTATTAAGCAAGATAATTTATTATCTACTATTTTTTGCTTCATCGTCTTCATTGTTTCACAGAAGTCTCTGAGCTTGCACAAGGTAGTATGCTGAATCCTACCTACTGCCCAAAGCTCTCCTTATGAACTTGTCTGTGCCCTGACCATGGTGGAGCAGCACTGTGAAAATGGGCCTCCACTCCACCCACCAGATGCCTATTTGGGCTTCTTACTGGTATTGGTGCCAAGCCATGGGGACCATCTCTGTAAGGGAAAGTTGGTCCATTTGAACATCCCCTCCTGGGGCCTGTAAGTCCCCACTGTTCCCATAGGTGGTATGATCAGCATCCACCCTTGGGCTAATCTCTCCCACTGCTTCCCCAGCTGAGACCCAGGCCCTTGAGGCGCAGCTTGTGGCTGCACAGTCCCACAGGCAATTTTCTCCTCTGGATCTGAATCATTAAAAAATAGTATGGTTAACCTCCCGCCTGAGGTCTGACATTACATGCACATGACCAGTGTGCTGTTTCAAAAAAGAGAAAGGGGACCTAGCTTCTGGCAGCACCACTGGTACTCCACTCTCAAAGTAGGCATAGCGGTGGAGCTTTTCACCATCCTTCAGGAAGAACCTTCCTCTCTGCATATCCATGAAGTGTTATGGCCCCTGGGGGCACGTATGATTTCATGTGAATCCTAACTGGAGTCCAAGAGGGTTTCAGAGACCACACTGAAGAATTAAGCAAGGCACAGTTCAGAAAAACTAAAGGGTACCAAGGAAGGAACAAGTAGACAGATCAGGCAGATTCAGGACTGACAGAGGGTGTGGAGAATGAGAGCACAACAAAGAAAGAGATAGAAGAGCGAGCAAAGTCATGCTTGTTCAAAACAAGAACTTAAAGTTTAAGCAATAGCTGTTAACTAGGATGCCGGCAGCCTCTTCTTGCTTCTTTTTACAAGGTTTGCTGGGAAGCTAAAACCCAAGAAAGAGCAGGCGAGCACAAGCATCCTGCCTAGCAATCCAAGGCAGGATGGGTTGGAGGAACATTTACTAACGAAGACCTGAAAGCATGCCTCTAACTCTAGCGAGGATGAACATGATACCACTGAGGCCAGAATACTCTATTTATGCCACATCACCTTTTTTTTCAAGCTTTTGAATAGTTTCTTCGGCTTCACACTGTTTGGTTTTGTACAACGTCTTCAGTACCTCAATTTCATTATTTTTTCTGTCCAAAATCTGTAGTAGAAAATAAATGCTTTAAAAACTTAGGAAAGTGGATAAAGGAAACACCAACATCCAAATACAATATAAGGAGTACACAGGCAACAGGGTGAATTTTATATATTAAAAAGGTTCCATGAAGTATGCATTTCTCACATTCATAATAATTTAGAATGCTCTTTAGAACAACTAAATGCCACATAAGCAGAGAATTCACATTGTCAAAACAATACTTATTTTTAAACATTGGTACAATTTTAGTGTAAATGTCCTTTGTGAGAGAAAAACTGAAAAGGAGGGGAAATGTTGCACAAAAGACTGATTTTCAGAAGATTTATTTTCCCCAAGGCGTCAACATCCCTTCCCAATCATATAAAGAATTTGAAGTCTAACAAGTTCTGAAAAACAACTCTAAAAAGCGAGTGTAAGTATTATTGCTAAATGCTTTTTTAAAAAATCCTTTGGGATCCTAGCAAGAAAGGAATGTTCATGAACATAGTGAAGAAAATATTCAAGACTAAATGTTTTCTTGACAAAAGAACTAAAAAACTGGATATTCAGTCTGCAAACAAAAAAAGGAAGGAAGGAAGGATAGAAAACAAGCAAGCAAGCAAACGATTCTTCGTTAACTTTAGAATATCATAGGGTATCTCATCTAGAGACCCTGCTGTGTCAAGTCAAAACAAAATAACTTATTTCAAAGTAAAAGTAAAAGCAATAGCAATATTGTAGATTCTAAACTCTCTTTTGAGAGGACCTTTCCAGAATACAGTGCTGTTTATATTTATGACTGTTAATCAGCTGACACTTTTCAGTAGATTCCCAAATTACTGAGAAATACATTATTCTACCACCCACCCATATTTTCTAAGCACCTTTATTGCCAATACATTCTCTTCCTTTTAACACTAGCATCTATTGACACATTTTTAACAATTCAAATAAATAGCATCTATTGACACATTTTTAACAATTCAAAATCATGAATATGTTTGTTCTGGTCCTACACCTTTCCACAAGAAGTGAATAAAACTATGATCCTTAGAGCTAGGCCAGTGTCCACTGTAACTGTTTGCAACAATAAAACTTGGTTATTTCCAAAGTGCCAAAGATTCACTGTTCCACACATGATTATGAAGTAGTTCAGATGAAACACACACACACACACACACACACACACACACACACACAGAGAGAGAGAGAGAGAGAGAGAGAGAGAGAGAGAGAGAGAGAGAGAGAGATCTGCCTCACCGACTGGCATTTAGTTCATGACCCTGTAATTTACTATTCACTCTCAACAATATATAAAATTCATGAAGCAAAGCATTTCTTGCCTTACAATTCACTACCATAAATCTGAAAGACACCCACAAAATCATAGTAAAAGAGCTCATCCAACAGCAGTATTAAAAGTCTGGGAGTGGAAAATCCAATAAACTGAAGCAGTAACTTTTCCTTTTAGTTTCCCACTAGATCTCTTTTTGGAAGTCAACTTTTCAATCATGTTCCTTTTCCACCCACTCGTGTCACTCCAACTATGCCTCAGATCAGTTAGGATATTTACCAACCTAAATTTCATTTCTCCTGTTCCCCTTCAAAGTTTGGTTGGCAGGCAAAAGTTGTAGTCGGGGGCTGGCTGATTGTATTTGCACACGTTTCTGTAGAAGTTTCCATCACAGCATCTTCAACTACCCAAGTCACTTACCCCAAGCTGTCTGAACCTTAACTGAGAACTCTTATTACCTCTCATACCTGCCTCAACCTTCCTAAGGCTTTCTTACTGCAAAGGGCATGGTTTCAACCCAATGTGTGCCCACTTATGTCTTGCTTACTCTTTCAAAACTGTTATACTGTCATCTTCAACAGTAAAACATAAATTAAATATGCATCTATCTAAATATTCTTTTTAATCGGTCTATATTGTTTAATATTTTGGGGTCAAACCCAAAGCCTATTCTCGTTAAAGAAACGAAAGAGTTTAAATAAGGCTAAAATCCTCTAAATTGTTGGAACTAACTAAACTGGTTTGCACCCTGCAAAATAACAAGCAGCACATTCCTATTCACTCTACTGGAATTGAGAGCAACAAGTAATCTAACTGAGTCATGTAATTCTTGTCAGGGTCTCATTTCAAGATAAATAGTATTTGGCCAAGACTTGTGTGAACATTAAAAATAATATCACTAACACTGTCACTGCTGTGCAAGGCTAGCAAATAATTATGTGTAATACTGTGCAAAACTTTGTGCAGGGGGCTGCACAATACCATGAACAAACTGAAGTACTTCACAGGATCATAGCAAGTTGCCTTAGACTATCGGTCCATCTAGCCAGTTACTGTCAACACTGAGTGGTAGAAGCTCTCTAGAGTTTCAAGACTTGAACCAGGGGCTTCCTCCATGCAAAATATCCTCTCTATCATCAAGTCACATCTCCACTCCATTTTTTTAAAAATCAACATTAACCCTCTAGGCTTGCGAAACAAAACCTGATATACTTGCTCATTATCCATTGTCTACGTTTCCAGAAAGTTGATGTGAAAATATACTAATACACCTGGATTTTTCTCTATGTCTCCATGGGAGCTTGGTTGTATAAGCACCTTGCTTTGTTTGCAGTTAATGAAACTATATCATTGCTCAAGAAAGCAGTCCATGTCATTATGCTGTGTTCTCATTGCTCACAATTTCTAAATGAATTTCTCCAGTGAATCTAACATCCGAATATGGCTATCTTGTTTCTACTTTAAGGAATGTATTTGTTTTCCAGTTTTTCACAACTACCATCTAGTTGCTAAAGGGAAAAGTGCTAACAATTTTTTCAGTATTACTGTCTTGCTGGCTCCAGCAAAAATACACAACAGGGACAGATTGGTGTTGCTTGTCATTTGCTGATTAACTAATTTGCTACATTCACTAAATATGTCCTACCACTATTGCATCAGTAGGCATTTCCACCAGAAGTATCTGCTTTTCAACATCCTCCTACAGCATTTAGGGGAAACAATACAATGCATGTGACTTAACATAACAGGGATGATATTGCAACTCTGCAAAGCTTTCAAATTCTCTTATTTTCACAGAGCAGAATTTCAATGGTTTTCTATACTGCACAGTGTCCCCAACATTTTAAATCAAATCATCTTCACATGTTACCTTTAATCAATCAATACTGTATTTTACTAGCATTCTAGAAACATTGTGCCTTTGCAATTATGCTGAGTAAAGGATGTGATGGATTTATAGCCAGGTAATTGTACTTTCTCCCAGCTAACTGATTCCTTATTTGCTTTTATGATTTATTTTAATACAATGCACCAATATTTCAAGCATGAAGACAAACTAGCCAACCAACAAAAATGCATTAAATTTAAATCTAGTTATTGACAGAAAGTAGTACACTTAACACTTTGCTTTACATGCAAAAATGAATGCATGAATTGTAGTGCTCTGTGACCGTAATCAATAAGTTTTTATGCAAAGGGGAGCTACAACTAATTGATAGAGTGCTCTCATGGCCTTTAGGCAGCATCTAGATGGCTGTAGAATGGATCAGATTTCCAGCTCTGAGGTTGGCAAAGAGCTCTGATCTCATAGTTGGGGATCTGCACTCAGGTTGCCCTCAACACACCCTACCACCACCACTCTAGTTGCCATGGAACTCTACTTGCAACTTCTCCCAAGTCAGGCATCTGACCTCAGAGAAGGGGTAAACAGGACATTCAGGGGCAGGGAAGGATATTGGGTCCACCAAGATATATCATATCCTCATGGTTCTCAAGTCTCTTTCCTTCCCTTTCTGAAACACTCCATGCTCTTCATGCCTTGCAGAGGATGCTTATAAGCCAAGTTCAGGGGCTTACATGCATATTCACTGGATGGCACCCTAACAATAATTCGATATAAACAACAAATTTTAAAATGGGCCAACAAAAGTTTTCCCTAATTTACTCTGAAATAATTAACTTACAAAATTTTCAGTGATATAAGATGGGCTGTCCTTCAAACAAAACATCACCAGCTCTTCAGATCATCCCAGGAAAGTTCTTTAAAAGGGGGAAATCAGCTTCTTTCTACAGTCTCTGTACAGATTACAGTGCAGGAGTAAATGATCAACAGATTCCTTTGTACCCATTCCACATGGACACAATTGTTTGTTAACCAGAATCTTATTGAATTGTCAGAGGACAACATGCTGAAACTAATGAGTATGAATGTTCTCCTGTATTTAGAAACACTCAGTTTATGAAGGCAGGAAGTTCTAACAATTCCATATTTTAGAGGATTACTTAAAGTTAATAGGGAACAGGATTATGAATGTCAGCAGTGGAAATATGAATCAACTAATCTCTACATAACAAAGAGTTCTGCCTTCTCTAAGCATAATTGCCCAGTGCCTCAGGAAAAAAAACCCAACTAAAAATCCTCTTTACTAGCACCCTCTTCTGTTTGCTAACAAGGTAGTCAGAAAGCAGCAGGTAACTATAACTTATCCTACAAAGATACCCCAGGGTCCTTCCAGTCTCCTTCCTTTCCTTTTTTGAAATGCCATTGTGTAAACACACACTATATCCACCAATACTCAGTTCCATAGGTTTGTGCTCTTTAACTCTGATTTCAGCAATCTTGTTAGATCTTGAGGAATGAGAATTCCAAGGTGTTTAAAATGGTTTTTACATGACAATATTCCTATTTGCTTTTGAAATTTTAACTGCAACATTTTGTCTATATTAAGATTTAACAGTTCTGGATTTTAGAGCTTATTTGAAGTCCAACAATTTCTCCAAATACTTGGATTTCATTAATGAATGGTTTTACTTAATTGTCCAACTCATTTAAAGGAGGGCAATGCTATCAGGTTTATTTTACATTGCTCCCTATTCATTAGAACACCTTTGATATTTTCATTAACTTTTATTTCTTCTGCAAAAGGTTAAAACAAAACAGCAAATAACATGGGGAACAGAATGCTTCCCTTTTCTGTGTCTCTATGTTGATCAGATATTTATTCATTAGTACAAAACTGTTCTTTTTTGAAGTCTTGCTGGGCTTCAGGATCTCCACCATAACCTGCCATATTCCAGCTTTGCCAGAATTATAATCTACCCAGTCCTATATATTTCAGTTCTCTGAAAGCACTTCAGCACATGCAAGAGGTCTCTGTCCCACAGTAAACAAAACAGCGAGAAAAAAGACAATATCATAACAAATTCACTCAGACTGAAAGGAATCACTGCTAGAAAGTAACGTCATGCAAGTCAGAAGTTAATTGGAATTTAAACCAAGTGTCTTGGTTTAAATTGCAAGCTTTTCACAAAGTCTTTTTCATTTAAAAAATTAACTCTCTCAGACTTTGTGATGTAAATAGAGCAATAAATGCAGTATCTTTTTGCTAATTAGAAGATTTTATAGTCCCAGTGGAACTCTTAATCATTAACAGAATGGGAAACTTTTTTTAACAACAAACACAAGTCTACCATGTAGCAGAACACAGGATTCAGAGCAAAGAGACACATTTCCACACACATAAACACTGCTAACCAGATAAACTGCTGCACCAGCACCTATATAAATCCTCCTGCATAACTGTGAAACTTTTAAAGAAGCCCCTCTTACAGTAGATGTCAAGGCTTTTCTGAACTAGAAAAAGATTAGCAAGGGGTTTTCAGACTGTTCAAATGCAAGGCCCTTTTTCATGTTTGTGTGTACAAAAACTCCTGTGAACATTTATGTATGATCCGATCCATCTAGCACGGCCAACCTTTTTGTATTTGTAGAAGGGAATCAAATAATAGATGAAGAAGCTGCAGATCAGCAAGCTCTGTTTTTCTTATCTGTACCTGTACCCTAAAGATTTTCAGTATTCCATTATATAAGAAATTCTATTTACATACATTTTAAAAGTAACCATTGGACTATTAAATGCCATGGTCTGGATATTGAATATTGATAAACTTTACTGTTATTTTCTTCTATAACAAAATGTCACATGCGATATATCCCCCAGATTTGTTTTCTTCTACATACTATACCTTCTGAACATCTGCATCATGCTTCTGCTGCAATTTAAGCTTTTCTTCATGAATTCTAGCTTCCATTAGTTTTGTTTTCATCTCCATCTGTAATTGAAAGATTTTATATGAGTAAATAATTTAAAAAATCAGCTTCCTAAACAGGGTAACACTTAACTCTTCCCCTCATCTAGAACAGGTTCTGAATTAAGACAAAGATCTAATACTGAAGACCAACTCCTACTTGCCCAGATGGTATGGGTAATATTCATGTGACTGGCCCTCCTCTGTTAAGATGAGCCAAAGGGCATCCAGTCAGGTAACTAATAGGTACAGAGTGATAAAGATATTAGAAAACAATGTGTGTAAAAGCAATCATGAGATTTTAAGTCACTGTGAAACAGTACTGGTTAATTCCTACAGACATGATTTTTTCCTAGAGCATTTGTATATATAATATATACGTGTGTGTGTGTGTGTGTGTGTGTGTGTTCTGTGTATGTTCTGTGTATGTTTCAAATAAATTGGCTAAAATCTATTTTAAAGGTCGTTGACGATCTCCATTTGAAAATTTATACCAATGAAACTGAATATATTGGAAATCTTGAACTGTTGTTAGGCAAGTATCAATAAACTTTTTCAATCACTTGATTTTTTTACCCTCAGGTACCTATGCTAGCTTCAACTTGCACTCCAAGGAGCTCAGCTGTTCCCCATTCTCCGAACAACCAATACCAAAACAGAGCAGAATGAAAAACGTGAACTAGGATAGGCAAATAGTTCATTTATTAGTGAAATTTTCAAGGACTCTGAATACCCTGTGATATTTTTCCAAGTATGGTATTGCTTTTTCATGATCCTTCCTTGCCTTTTGTTAATCCTGTATTATTGGTTGCAAACATTCCATAAATAATTCAGAATTCTTGTAAATACTTCTAAATAATGCAAATCACAGTGGATACAAAAGTACTGAGCACCAGTTTTTAAACAGTGGAAACTTATTGTTCACAACAAGATGCACAAAACAAATGAGACAGCGTTTAAGCTGCAGATGCTATAGGCCCATGTTATAGGAAATTTTCTGACCAAGTATGCATGGGACTGAACACAGGCAACAATTTTACAGCTACTTATTTGGGAGTAAGCCCCACAGATCTCAATGAGACCTCTTCCTACATAGAGTCGTTCTCTACAATGCATACGAACAATATACCAAGTATATACAGTTGTATATATACAATTGTAATGATATACCAAAGTTTAGGATGGTCTGTAAACCACTTAATTAAAAAACCTAAATAATTAACAACCATCTACTCTTGGTTTTACTTAGTCAGTATTTTTACAATTCAGTACATGTTTCCATTCAATGCAACGCTATGCTGAAACAACTGTTTCCTTAAATGTCCTATGGATGAATCCTGTGTTCACGTCAAGCCAGTACTGGAGAAACCATTCTGTCACAATAGCTGCTGTACATATTATGGACAGGGTGGTTGGATCACATTAATTCCAAAAATGCCCAAATGGCAGCAGCTACCCAATAAAATCCCCTTGGCATCCTTGGAAAATAAACTCTCTCCCACAGACTGTGGACCATGTCAGTCAGGCATATGTGACATACATTCAGAGGGAGCTAAGGCACTCAGGTCAAGCCCGCAATGTTAGCAGTCATGTCACCATGTCATGCCCAATACCTTAACATATGAAGAGAACCAGGCAGTAGCTGAGGCAAAGCCAAAGAACTCTTTGGTATAACCTGCTAAACAACACTCAAATCAAAATATGTTAACACTACCCATAGTTAAGAGGGAAGAGGGACATAAAAGGTAAGTCACAGCAGCAACCAAAGAAATTCTGTTGTACAATCTGAACAGATTAGAGGTCACTCGCTCATCTTCTTTATTGAAAAAAATAGGTCAACATTAGATCCAGCTTCTGGTAGAAGTGGAAGGAAGAGAAAGAGGTTGAAACCATTGTTTTTTACCTTTCCAAATATCCATTGTTCCTTAAATAAGGGAGAAAATACTTGTGCAGAAGGATGGAAGCATGCTTTCACACTTTCTGGAAAGTTCAAGAACAGGGTATTCCCACAAAAAAAGGATCACTTGTTAGGACAACAAGCAACTGCTCCAATTTGGTACTGAAACCCAACAAGCTAAAAAATGCATGGTAATTTGAATGCAGAATCTTGGAGAAAAAATATCATCCTACCAATGGGAAGGTCTATAGAAGAAGAGCATTACATTTACAGCCAGTCAAGGATTAAGAGATGCTTTTTTGTTGGTACATTACTCAGAAAGATATAGAAAAAATGAACAAGAATTATACTGGAAAGTGTTAGAAATGCAAAGAAGTAGATGAGACTTTCTACCGTATGTGCTGGACATGTGATAAAATTAAAAGATTCTGGAAGCAGATACATGTGGAAATACAAAAACTTTTCCTATGAGTGCTAAGCATATGCTTTTGAATATTATACCCAAGACTTTTTCAAAGAATATGTCAGTGTTATTTAAATACATAACTGCAGCAAGAATTACAATTGATTCTAAATGGAAAAAGCAGAATGCATTCTAAAAGCCAAATGTCCAACAATTGAAGATTGGAAAAATAAGATGGCTGAGTATACAGTGATGGCAAAATTAATTATGTAACAGGAGACCAATTGAAGAATTTAATGATAAATAGATTTTTATATGCAGTTTAATTAATATAGAACAAAATAGAACCTGTAAAAATATTGCTGATTATCTATATTTCAGTGTAAACCTTATGCAATCATATATAATTGACTTGAAATGACTGGAAAACTTACTGGTTTAGAGAACTATAATTATCTTTTTTACAAGCTTCAACAAAGTATTGATTGACAGATCAAAATCTTTGTTCTTTTGGGAATTTGCTAGGTTTTGAAATTACATGTTATATCTGTGCATTACTAACTCTCTCTCATATTTTTTTCTTCTTTCTTTGTATTTTATTTCTTTGAAAAAACAATAAAATATTTTAAAAGTCCTGTTGACCACTTCTGAGAAGCCATCGTAAACCATAGTACCAAGGACTTCTTTGGGGATGGATAGTAGGAACATAAGAAAAGCCTACATGATCAGAAGAAAAGTCTTTCTAGTCCAGCACTCTGTACACACAGTTGCAAACCAGCTGCCCACAAGATTCTTCAAGCAGGATGAATGCAAGACCTCCTCCTGCCTGAGTTCCTCAACAACTAGTGCATGCAGGACACCTTTGGTAAAAGAGGCAGCACATAACCTGCAAGGCTTGTGGCCTCCGATACCCTCCTCCCTCATGAATATGTCCAATCCCCCTTTAAAGCCACCCAGATTTGTGGCTACCACCACTTCCTGCGGTAGGAAATCCATAGTTTAACTATATGTAGTGGGAAGAAGTACTTCCCTATTATCTGTCCTAAACCTCCCACCAATCAGCCTCATAGAATGAAAGTCTCCCACTCCACTTTCTCCACTATTTTTTCTAAGCCAAATAGTCCCAGTTGGTGCAGCTGCTCCTCGTTGAGGAACTGCTCCACACCCCTGATCTCCCCCCCCCCTTCTCAATACTTTTTCCAACACAATAATGTCCTTTTTCAGGTAAGACAACCAGAACTGACCACAATTTTCTAGGCACAATTTTACCAAAGATTTGTATAAGAGGAGTATAGATTTTTGCAGCTCTATTTCTATTCCATTCCTAATTATTCCAAGCATGAAATTCACCTTTTTCACAGGAGCTGCACAAAGGGCTGAAATTTTCACCAAGCTATCCACTACTACCCCAAGATCCCTTTCTTGCTCACTGACTGTTAGCTCAGATCCCATCAGTGTATACTTGATGTTGGGAGTTTTCCCCCAACATACATTACTTCACACTTGCTTATGTTGAACTGCATTTGCCATTTTGATATCCATTCTCGTGGCTTGGAAAGATCCCTTCTGAGTTCCTCGCAATCTCTTTTGGTTTTAACCTCCCTAAACAGTTCAGTGTCATCGGCAAAGCTGACCACTTAATGACTTAATCCTAATTTCAGGTAATTTATGAATAGTTAGGGAAGCATTGGTCTTAATACAGAATCTGTGGGACTCCTCTGGCTGTATCTCTTCATTGGGAGAAATTTATTCCCATTCTCCCTTCTGTTCTTTAACCAGTAAGTGTTTGATAAGAGGACTCCCACGTCTATTCCATGACTGCTTAAGTTTGCTCAGGAGCCTTTAATGAGGGACTTGAGGGAGAATTCTGTGGCTCTCTAGCCCTTTCCAACTCTATTATTCTATAATTCTATGTCTTTTGTCAAAAACCTTTTGGAAGTCCAGGTAATCAATGTCTATTGGATCATCCCTGTCTACAAGCTTGTTGACCATTTCAAAAACCTCCATTAGGTTTGTGAGACAAAACTCTTCTCCTTGTGGAAGCCATGTTGACTTTTAATCATCAGGGCTTGTTCCTCTATGTGTTTACTGATTCTTTCTTTAGTAATGCTTTCAAGCAGTTTACCCAGAACAGATATTAAGGTAACTAGCCCATAATTTCCCAGATCCCCCCAGATCCTTTTTTTAAAAATTGGTGTTACACTGGCCATTCTCCGATCCTCTGGTACAAGGGTTGATTTTAGGGACACATTAAACATTATGTTAAGAAGGTCAGTGATTTCATGATTTTGTTCGATAACTCCAGGAACAGAGACCAAATCCTAACGAGAATGTGCCAACACACATGGAAAACTCAACAAAACTGGAAGCATTCAACATACACCCAATACCTTAAAAAGGAGATGCAAAGACACGCAGCAACCATAGGACCATTGGACTAATTTCCCATGCAAGCAAAGTGATGTTCAAGGTGGTACAACAAAACAATTTATCCAATATCAAGTGTGAAATCCTTGATGCTTAAGCGAATTCTGAAAAGGAATAGACACTCAAGATCATATTGCAAATACTTGTTGGCTACTGGAGTGCTCCAAAGAATTTCATAAAAATATCAGTCACTTTAGACACTACAGCAAGGCTGCACTGTGTGGATCACAAGAAGCTATGGATAACCTGAAAGAAATGGGAATGCCTCAGCATTTGATTGTCCTGATGCATAGACTG